GTCTGAGAGCCCATCACAAATTCTGGTCATGCAGGTGACTCTGGGGAGAGTGTGTGTAATCCGGGAACATCTTAATATTGAAACTTCTCAACCATGAAAGAATTAAGGCCCTGAAACAACTGCTTCCAGAGAAAGAAATGTCACCTATACTCGGCGTTATTTTAATGACCTGCTTCTGCTCTGGAATTTTGCCTAATAACCCAATTACAAAGGGTTTTTGCTTTTTATTCCCCTTGAGCCATTTCCTGTTTTGTTCAGAAAATCTTGCATGAACACTGCACCAAGACCCTGCTTGGAGAAAGGCGTCTGGACTAGAGAGAAAGAAAAACTGTTAGTCGCTCAGTTGTGTCCGACTCTGCGACCCCCACGGACTGCAGCCCACCAGGCTCCTCTGTCCATGGGATTCTCCAGGCAAGAACACCGGAGTGGGTTTCCATGCCCTCCTCCGGGGGATCTTCCTGACCCAGGGATCGAACCCGGGTCTCTTTAAGTCTCCTACACTGGCAGGCGGGCTCTTTACCATGAGCACCACCCAGATGGGGTGACTTTACTCCCTGATGGACATTCGCTGATGCTTGAAGACAATTATTATGACTTGGAGTGGGCAGAGATGCTCCCGGAGTGTGGTGGGGGGAGACTAAGGATGCTAGTCCACACCCCACAGTGCCCAGGACACCCCACATCAGAAAGTCATCCAACCCCCACATGTCAGCACTGCTGAGGCTGAGAAATGCTGACCAAGCATGAGAGACACTACCTGTCTGGCCGTCTGTCCATCCATCTGTCTGTCTGTGTATCTATCTATCTGCCTACGCATCCAGCCTTCTGTCTATCCATCTGTGTATCTACTTCCGGCTCTGGTTGGAAACCTGAGATGACCTGCCCACCACCCCACCCTGGGAACATAAAACAACGTCTGGAGACATTCTGGCTGTGACAGCAATGGGGGAGGGAGTGCTCCTGGCATGTGGCGGGGGGCGACCAGGGGTGTCGCTCCACACCCCACTGGACACAGGATGCCTAAATTGGAGAGGCGTTCAGACCCGGTGTCACCTTGCTGAGATGGAGAGACCCTGAGCAGGCACGGCTGTCTGATTATCTGTCTATCTGTCCATCCATCCATCCATCCATCCATCCATCCATGCATCTATCCATCCATCCAACCATCTCTGTATCCATCCATCCATCCATCCATCCATCCATCTATCCATGCATCCAACCATCTATGTGTCCATCCACCCATCCATCCATCCATCTATCCATGCATCTATCTACCCAACCAACCATCTATGTATCCATCCATCCATCCATGCATCTATCAGAGTGAGGCTGGGAAATCGTGACCTAGCATGGCTGTCTAATTATCTATCTATCTACTTATCCATCTATTTATTTATTCTATCTATCCATCCATTCATCCACCTATCTATCCATCCAGCTATCTATATATCTACCTATCCATCCATCCATCCATCAGTCCATTGATCTATATATCTACGTATCCATCCATCCATCCATCCATCATCCATCCATCCATCATCCATCCATCCATCATCATCTATCTCATCCATCCATCCATATATCTACCTATCCATCCATCCATCCATCCATCCATCTATCCATCCATCCATCCATTCATGCACCTATCCGTATATCTACCTATCCATCCATCCATCCATATATCCATCCACCATCCATCCATCCATCATCATCTATCTCATCCATCCATCGATCCACCCATATATCTATCCACCCATTCATCCATCTATCTATCCATCCATCCATCCATCCATCCACCCATCCATCCATCCACCCACCCACCCATCCATCCATCCATCATCCATCTATCTCAACTAGCCACCCATGAATCCACCCATCCATCCAGGTATGCACCTATGGCTGTGGTTCACAGACTGGAAGGACTTTACCCTCTGAGGGGACATATAACAATGTCTGGAGACTTTCTGGCCGTGATAGCGATGGGGGCAGGGGCTGCCCCTGGCGTGCGGTGAGGGGAGCCCAGGGCCACTCCTCCACACCCCACACAGGGCCCAGGACGATCCCCATCAGGTACTTGTCCGGCCCCAGACGCCAGTGGGGCTGAGGCTGAGGAACCCTGAGCAGGCACGGCAGACTGGACGACTCTCTGATGCGCGGTGGCGTCCTAGCCCTGTGGACTGCAGAGCAGTGCCCCTGGTCCCCACCCAGCACGCGGCAGAAGCGTTCTCCCCGCTGAGTCCTGGGCAGCAGAAAGCGCCCCAGACGTCGGCAAGCATCCCCTCGAGGCAGAATCCCAGCAGATTGAGAGTGACCGGTTTAGACTCAGCTGTTTGTGCGGGGGCTTTCCTGCCCCTGCTGCGCGGGACCTCCACCTCCTTTCAGGGATAAACTGGGGCGGAAAGATGCAGGCGGCAAGGAGGAGGGATCCTGTAGGCGAACGGAGACACGTGTATGTCTGGCTGAGTCCCTTGGCTGGTCACCTGAAACCATCACAGCGCTGTTAATCGGCTACATCCCAATAAAAAATAAAAAGTGTAATAAAAAAAAAATCTAAATACCAGTGAATCATTGCTTCTGGAAAAGTCCACCACCCAGGATGACCTGATGGATGTTTATAAACCATGGGGACAGAAAACCATTGATGCGCCCCTGAATTAACCACCAACATCAACCAATTCTGAACCAGAAAGCAAAAGACTACACAGTTAAAGGGCTGAAATTTTTCAGGATGTGTTCTCTGACCAGAACAGAACTAAGCTGGAAATCAGTAACAGAAAGTTATGTAAAGTCCCCCAGGATTGATCAGTTCGACAGCTCATTTCAAAATAACTCACAGGCCAAAGGGAAGTAAAAGAACCAGGAAGAGAAACAGAAAAATATCTGGAACTGGATAAAAATGCAGACACAGGGCCTTCCCTGGCGGCCCAGGTGTTAAGACTTTGCCTTCCAGTGCAGGCGCTGCAGGTTCAACCCCTGGTGTAAGATCCCACAGGCCTTGCAGTCAAAACACCAAAACATCAAGCAGAAGCAATATTGTAGCAAATCAAAAAAAGACTTTAAAAAAAAAAGGTTCACATTAAAAAAATCTTTAAAAAAAAAAAAAAAGCAAACACAATGCAAAGAAATTTGTGGGGTCCAGCTGAGATTGTGTTGAAAGTATTTTCAGGGTTATATGCCTGCAGGAGGAAAGAAGAGTTTAGAGCCAATATTTTATGCTCTCACCTTACGAAATTAAAGAAAACCCTACTAAACACCAAAGAAGTAGAAACAGGAAACAGGAACAAGCACACATCAATGAAATAGAAAATGGAAAAGCAGCAGAGATGACCAGTTGAATCAAACAGTGGTTCCCCGACTTGTCAATAAATTGACAGTAAACTGACAAACCTCTCGTCAAATCAATCCAGGAAGTGATGTGAAAGTCGCTCAGTCACGTCCACCTCTCTGCGGCCCCATGGACTATACAGTCCATGGAACTGTCCAGGCCAGAATACTGGAGTGGGTAGCATTTCCCCTCTCCAGGGGATCTTCCCAACCCGGGGACCGAACCCAGGTCTCCCGCATTAGGGGCAGGCTACTCACTCCAGTGTTCTTGGGTTTCCCTTGTGGCTCAGCTGGTAAAGAATCAACCCAGGAAATAAAAGCAAAAATAAATAACAGGCCAAGAATGAAGGAGGCTGAATGGGCATCACTCAGACTGTATGGACTGCATTAAACAATGAATAAGAGGGACTTCCCTGGCGGATCAGTGGTTGAGACTTCATCTCCCAATGCAGGGGGTGGTGGGTTCAATCCCTGGTCGGGGAGCTAGGACCCTCCCACAAGCCTCCTGGCCAAAAACTAACAGAAAGCAGAGAAGCAACATTATAACAATGTCAATTAAGACTTTAAAAATGATTCACATAAAAAAAAATCTTTAACAAAAGATTACTAACAAAACAGTATAAACAAATTCATGTTCACCCACCAGACAACTTAAGATAAATACATCTAAATTCCTCAAAATACACAAGTCATCAAAATTCACTCAGAAAAAAGTGAATAACTGTCCTGTAACTACTACAGTGGGTTCCCCAGGCGGTGTGAACGGTAAAGAACCCACCTGTCAATGTAGGAGACCTGGGTTCAATCCCTGGGTCAGGAAGGTCCCCTGGAGAAGGGATTGTCAACACACTCCAGGATTCTTGCCTGGAGAATCCCATGGACGGAGGAGACTGGCGGGCTGCAGTCCACGGGGTCACAAAGAGTCAGACATGACTGAGCAATTAATACAAGAACAATTTACTAAAGGAATTAGGCTGATAGCTAAATATTTTGGACTGAAAAAAAAAAACCAAAAACCCTCCAAACTCGGATGCTTTCACAGGCAAATTCTACCAAATATTAAAGGGGAAAAAAACATATCTGTTCTCTATAAACATTGCCAGAAGCAGAAGTAGGGGAAATACTTGTCAGCTCATGATGTCAAGGATTTTGGTGTCTTTGCTGTTAATGAAGTCTTGCCAAGGGTTTCGTGTGCTTGTAATGTCTTAAGTCTGCTTTGACCATATGTGACATAGAGAGCCAGCCTGACGTGTGACGCGGGGAACCCCAAGGCGGCACTCTGTGACAATCTGAAGGGTGGGCTGGGGAGGGAGGTGGGATTCAAAAGGGAGGGGTTACATGCATGCCTATGGCTGAGTCATGTCCGTGTAAGGCACAGGCCATCACGAGACCGCAATTATCCTCCATGTAAAATAGATACACTTTCACAAGTTTTTAATCCGAGTAATGCTGGCTTCATCATGCGTTTAAAAAAAAGTCAAAAGCATCAGTACAAACAGAGCAATTTCCATGAACGAGGGTTGAACGAAACAGGACTCCTTCCTAGAAACGGGCTACCTGTTCAACCTTGGAAACAAACCTAGGTGATTCACCGTGACCACGGAAGACCGCGGGATAGAAAGTCTATGACCTCAGTAGACGCAGGAAAGCCAGTTGGCGAACGTCAGCGTTCATTTATGTTCTTCAAAATGTATGCAATCTCAGAAAAAAATGGAACTGAGGAGCCTGCTTGCGGGGCAGAAATAGAGAAGGAGACGTGGAGAACGGACCCAGGCGGGGAAGCAGACGGTGGAGTGCATCGAGAGCATAGCTCTGACCTCTGCGCGTGGCTGTGTGTAAAACAGACAGTCAGTGGGGCCCCTGTGTAGCCAGGCTCAGCTCGGGGCTCTGCGATGGCCCAGCGGGGCGGGGTGAGGTGTGAATCAAGACAGAGGGGAAGTGTGCACACTTCTGGCGGAGTCACGCTGCTTGTATAGCAGAGACCAACATGGCACTGTGAAGCAAGTATATGCCAGTTAAAGGAAAACTAAATAATAAGCGCGCTTCTCGAACTAAGAATGGAAAAGACTTCTTACACCTGTAAAAAGCGCCTACCAACACTGCCCGCTAATTATCCTTCATGGTTAAAGACTGCTGCCCCAAGAGGGTCGGGAAAGATGCGGAAGCCAACTCACTCTCTTGGGCACCATCCAATGAGACATGCCACAGTGAGACCGGGGAGATGAAGAAAGAACATGCAGTCTGACTGCAAGGAAGAAGGCAAGCTCTGTTTAAAAAAAAATTTTTTTTTTAAATGACTGTCTAGATAGAAAGACTAAGAAATGCCTAGAGAAAAGGATGCTCAGAGGAGAAGTGTGAGTGTAGCAAGAATGTGTCACACGAAACAAGACTAGTTTATAAAAGTCAATGGCATTTTTTTATAGACTAGCGATAAATAACTAGAAGTTAAGAAATTTTAAAACTCTTATCAGTATTGTTGGAGTTTAGGGGAGAATGGATACATGTGTATGCACGACTGAGTCCCTTTGCTGTCCAGCCAAAACTATCACAACATTGTTAATTGGCTATAGTCCTTTTATAACGTAAGACATTCAGAAAGATATTATGTTGGGAAGATGCCCTGGAGAAGGGAAAGGCTGCCCACCCCAGTGCTCTGGCCTGGAGAATGCCACGGACTGTATAGTCCATGGGGTCGCAAAGAGTCAGACACGACTGAGCAACTTTCACTTCCAGGATAAAGAAGGTGTGATCTATTTGTCTGTTATTGTTGTTGGGTACTCACCACGTTGTGTCTGACTCTCTGTGACCCCCAAGGACTGTCGTCCACCAGGCTCCTCTGTCCATGGGATTTTCCAGGCCAGAATGCTGGAGGGGGTTGCCATGTCCTTCTGCAGGGGATCTTCCCGATCCAGGGATCTAACCCCTGTCTCCTGCATTGGCAGCTGGATTCTCAACCACTGAGCAACCAGGGAAAGGCATGACATAATACATACACACACACGCACACACACACATACAGTGAAATAGTACTCAGTCATAAAAAACGAATAAAATAATGCCCTTTGCAGCCACATGGATGAACCCGGAGATGATCATACAAAGTAAGTCAGAGAAAGACCAACAGCATATGAGATCACTTTGATGTGGAATCTAAACTATGACCCAGATGAAAGCGTTTACAAAACAAACAGACTCACAGACCTAGAGAATTGACTTCTGGTTCTCAAGGAGGAAGGCGCGGAGGGATAAACTGGGAGTTTGAGATGCACAGATACACACCACTGTATACAAAATAGACAGGCAGGACGTACTATATACCACGGGGAACTATACTGAATACCCTGTAATCACTTACAATGGAAAACAATCTGAAAAGTTACATATATATGTATGTGTGTATATATACCGAAAACATAGTAACATTGTTGATAGGCTATACTCCAATGCAAAATAAAAAGCTAAAACCAGAAACCAGTGCGTCACTAACATCAGGGTAGGCATGAACTAATAGAAACGAGGAAGCCATGTGAAAAGACAACCACGCTTATAGGGTAAATGGATTTTTAACAAAGTCGGTAAGATAATTCAATGGGAAAAGGATCATTCTTTTTTTTTACAAGTGGTGCTAGAAGGCTTGGGACCAACCATGTGCAAGAACAACACCATGCTTCTATACGTCACGTCGTAAGAAAGTTAACTCGATCTATGATAAACCAGGGGCTTTGCCGGTGGCTGAGCGGCAAAGAATGAGCCTGCCAACACAGGAGACCTGGGTTTGATCCCTGGGTCGGGAAGATCCCCTGGAGGAGGACATGGCAACTCATTGCAGTATTCTTGCCTGGAGAATCCCATGGAGAGAGGAGCCTGGCAGGCGCCGTCCATGGGGTCACAGAGACTCAGACATGACTGAGCATGCAGGCACCAAATACATAAATACAGATCTGGATGGAATCGGTCCCACCAGGTGGGTCCCGAGTGAATGAATCGCATGTGTCTGCTCGACGGCCGCAGGAGTCTCGGGGAGGTGGCTAAACATGACTCTGGGTGTGTCTGGGAGGATGTTCCTGGATGAGATGAGCACTTGAACGGGTGGGCTGAGGAAAGTAGATGGACATCCCTAGTGGGGGTGGGCATCGTCTAATCAGCTGAAGGTCTGGACAGAACTGCCTGTGGACCTAAACAGGAACATCAGCTCTTCCTGGGTCTCCAGCTTGTGGCCTCACCTGTGGATCTCAGGACTTGTCAGCCTCGGCGGCACAATGAGCCAATTTCTCATAGTAGCTATCTCTCCACCATCTACCTATCTATCTACCCACCCACACATTCACCTGTCTGTCTTATCTATCAGCCTAGGTGTCTGTCTATCCATTCATTCATGTATCTTATCTAGCTATCTATCCATCTATCATTATCTGTACCTACCAACCTACCCATGTACCTATATACCTTTCCATCCATTCATTCACCCATCTTATTTATCAATCTAGATATCTATTTATTCATCCACCATTATCTATCTACCTATCTATCCATCCACCCATTCACCTGTCTATCTTATCTATTGATATAGTTATCTGTCTATCTGTCCATCCACCTGTCTATATTATCTAGGTTTCTATCCATCTATCATAATCTATTTACCTGCCAACCTACCTATGTACCTATCTACCTTTCCATCCATCCATTCACCTATCTTATTTATCAACCTAGATATCTATCTATCCATCCATCATTATCTATCTACCTATCTATCCACCCATCCATTCACCTATCTTATTTAACGATCTAGGTAACTATCTATCCATCCACCCACCTGTCTATATTATCTAGTTATCTATCCATCTATCATTATCTATTTACCTACCTATCTATCCATCCATTCATTAACTTGTCTATCTTATCTATCGATTTAGATATCTATCTATCCATCAACCCACCTGTCTATATTATCTAGGTATCTATCCATCTATCATTTTCTATTTACCTACCAACCTACCCATCCATCCATCACCTGTATATCTTATCTGTCAGTCTAAGTATCTGTCTATCCATCCATCCACCTGTCTATATTATCTAGGTATCTATCCATCTATCATTATCTGTTTACCTACCAATGTACCTAACTAGCTATCCATCCATCCATTCACCTGTCTATCTTACCTATCAGTCTAGGTATCTATCTATACATCCATAATTATCCATCTACCTATCCATCCATCCATCCATCCACCCATCCATTCACCTGTCTTATCTAGCAGTTGGTATCTACCTATCTTATCTGTTACCTATCATCCATCCATCCATCATCAATCTACCATTCTATCGCTCATCTATTCATCCATCTATCCACTGATACTTTATTATCTATCCATCTATCAATAATGTCTCTATATATCTTTTACCTATATATCTGTCCATTTATCCATCAATCATTTATCTACCTACCAATTTTCTACCATCTATCTACCTATCTAATCCATATATCTGCATCATCTATATAATCTAAGTATCTATCATTATTATGAGCTAATTTGATCTATAATCTTATATATATATATGTGTCTAGTCTTTGTCTATGTATATATATACACACATGCACACACACTGTCCCTCCATAAATGCCGTGTTAATCATACAACACATGTGTGAAGAAAACCACAATTTGCTCCTGAAACCAGAGCCCCTGTGAGACCTTCAGAAGCACTAGTTTCAGAAACACAAACTACACCTATCTTTATTATCTATCTATCTACCAATAATACATGTCTCTTTTATCTATACATCTGTCCATTTATCCATCTATCCATCCATACCCCTGTCTTACCAGTTTTGGTATCTATCTATCCCTCCATCATTATCTATCTACCCATCCATCCATCCACCTGTCTTTCCTAACAATCAAGTGCATACCCACCTATCTGTCTTATCTACTTACCCATCCATCCATCCACCTGTCTTTCCTAACAATCAAGTGCATACCCACCTATCTGTCTTATCTACTTACCCATCCATCCATCCACCTATCTTATCTATCAATCAAGTACCTACCCACCTATCTGTCTTATCTATCTACCCATCCATGCATCCACCTATCTTTCCTAACAGTCAAGTACCTACCCACCTATCTATCATATCTATCTATCCATTATGTAGCTATCTATCATCCATCCAATCTATCATTCTACTATCTATCATCTATTCCTCTTCATCAATTATTTCAGGCTCCCCTGGTGGCTCAGATGGTAAAGAATCCACCTGCAATGCAGGAGACCTGGGTCCCATCCCTGGGTCAGGGAGATCCCGTGGAGAAGGGAATGGCAACCCACTCAAGTATTTTTGCCTGGAGAATCCCATGGACAGAGGAGCCTGGTGGGGTATACAATTCATGGGGTCACAAAAAGTCAGACACGACTAATTGACTAACACTTTCACATTCATCTATCTATCTAATCTATCTGCCCACCTGTTTCCTATTTGTTATGTGTCTATCCATCTCTCAGCAATCTCATCCATCTACACATTGGTCCGTTTATCCATCCATCAATCAGCAGTCTTCCTACCCATCTACTGATTTTCTGTCACCCATCTACCCTTCTAATCTGTATATCTGCATCATCTACCTATTTATGTATCTATCATCTCAATCTTGTGCTCTGTCATCACCTACCATCACGCTGATTTATATCTACATATGTATCTACTTTCTCTCTATATATGCAAACGCAGTTGGGAAGAAAACCCCTATTTGGTCCTGAAACCCGAGGCCCCAGTGAGGCCGAGCTTCAGAAACGCAAACTCCAGAGTCTCCTGTCACATTGCACCAGCGGCATC